TATGAATAGCAAGTGACCCTAAGAAATATGTGAGCGACTTCCTGCCAAGTCAAATACAGAGGCTACTGTTACTTTCTGTTTTCAATGAGGAAAGCCCCTCACCCTACCAGAGATGTCTTGTTTTTGCAGTTCATAAAGTTAGTGGATCTTATTTATGTAGAGCATTTTGGCTTTTCAAAGTGCTTTTGCTCTCAAGATTTCATAACAGTTGCATGAAACAGGAGGGAAAGTGCTTTCTTTTCTGTAGACAAAGAGAACAAGGCCCAAGGAGATTAGGTATTTGTTTAGGAACCAGAACTCTGAGATCTCTTCAACACTTCTCAAAGCTTAATTTGTATATGAATTACCTAAGGATCCTGTAAAAATGAAAATTCTGATTCAGTGGGCCTTGGGTGAGGCCCAAGATTCTGTATTCCTAACAGGCTTCCATGTTACTGTGGGTCCTCTGGCCACACTCTGAGTAATGGATAAGACCATTGACATAGGTTGAGTATTAAACTCTGTTGGACCACATTCCCTGGGTGTACTTGTCAGGGAAGGTGGGCTTTCATATAATGTTTAGCAAAGAGAGGGATCTGGCCTTGGAAAGCATTCTTTTTTTTTTTTTTTTAAGGTTTTACTTTGTTTTATTTATTTATTTATTTGACAGAGAGAGCGAGCGAGCAAGCACAAGCAGGGGGAGCAGCAGAGAGGGAGAGGGAGAAGCAGGCTCCCTGCTGAGCAAGGAGCCCGATGCAGGACTTGATTCCAGGACCCCGGGATCATAACCTGAGCCAAAGTCAGACGCTTAACGGACTGAGCCACCCAGGGTCCCTAAAGGTTTTAAGTAATCTCTACACCCAATGTGGGGCTGGAACCCACGACCCCGTGATCAAGTCGCATGCTCTACTGACTGAGCCAGCCAGGCGCCCCTTGAAAAGCATTCTGATGCTGTTCTCAATCAAGCAGAAATGACTGTTAGACCTTCCTTCTTCACGTAATCCATCTGTAATTAACAGGAAGTTGTGCACAAGCAGAGGGCAGAGCTAGGTAGAAATACGCTTGGATATTGCCAGTGTTTATTTATCTTTATGATTTGGGCTTTGTCAGATCTGTCTCAATCCCAGATGCCTTTGGACCTTGGCATCTACAGTTGTTCATTAATTGGTGCCTCAAGCGTCAGAACACAAACTCATAAACCTTGGTGATTAATCTTAGTCCCATGGCGCTCCTTGGTGTCAGGAGTTAAGTGATTTTCCAGAGCTCCACATGGCTACCTGGATGGCATTTTCCCAGGTGGGCCCTGAGAGTTTCCTTTGCCCAAAGTATGAGATCTGGTTTGGTAACCACATGACATGATAAATGCTAGTCAGTGTGGTGTAGCCTTGCGGTAGGGAATTTCTTTGTGAAGAGAACAAGCTGTCCCTTTCAGGGACTGGATCTGGTTTGGGAGGAACAGAGCCATCTGGGTTTGCGGTCTTGTTTGGAGAAAGGTGCACCCCTGTGACATCCTTGTCCCTTCCTATGCTCTAGGATGGGGCCTGGGCCAGAGGGCAGCTAACAGCCCACAGGCACCTGCTCTAACAGTGTGGTTGTTGGACTCTTTCCTTATAACTGGACAGACTGGTGTGGTGAGGTGTCAGCTTTCTTTATAAAGCACTTTTTATAGTTTTCTCAATGACACTTATAATGAACGGTTCTCAAATATGCCTGAAGGACAAATACCACTGTTGATGTATTTCAAAATATCAAGCCTATCCCGAGAAAGTTCATTTCAAGGGTAGACTTGGATTATGGTGCTGAGCCCAGCCATCAAGCAGAGGTTGCCAAGATTGGAAGTAGTTGGGATGGCTGTTGTATCAGGGATGGATTATTATTATTTTTTATTATTTTTTTTTAAAGATTTTATTTATTTGAGAGAGAGAAAGTGTGAGAGAGCAAGAGTGCCGGTGGGGGGGAGGGGCAGAAGGAGAAGGAGAAGGAGAAGCAGGCTTCCCGCTGAGCAGGGAGCCCGATGCAGGGCTTGATCCCAGGACCCTGGGATCATGACCTGAGCCGAAGGCAGACGCCCAACGACTGAGCCACCCAGGCGCCCCAGGGTTGGATTATTTTACAAGACATGTTCTTACTTTAAAGATTATTCTGATATGATAGGGCATTTGGTGCTCTCTTTATCACTCATCTAAAATGTTGAGCTCCCCTTATGTGTGTAAAGTTTCATGCTAGCCTCAGGGCCCTTGCATGGCTCAGTTGGTTAAGCGCCTGCCTTCGGCTTGGGTCATGATCTTGGGGTCCTGGGATGAAGCCCCATTATCAGGCTCCCTGCTCAATGGGGAGCCTGCTTCTCCCTCTCCTCCCGCCCTGCTTGTGCTAATACATAAATAAAATCTTAAAAAAGTTTCATACTAGCCTCAAGGATGGTGAAAGTAGACGGAAAAAGAATGAAAAATATGGCATTTGTTCTTAAGTATTCCATATTCTAGCTGAGAAACTGAGAAACAAAACTAATAAACATGGCAACATAATAAATGCTAACTGGTCCAGAGTCATCAATCCCAAAGAGAGTGTTGCTAATTCCCATGACATGGTAAGACTTCACAGAGGTGAAATTTAAGCTAGGCTTTGAAGAATTAGTATTGTAATGTAGGGAAAATGAGCAAAAACACTTAGAGCACAAAGTATTTGAAAAGTTAAACTTTTTTGGGCTAACTTGGCTGCGGAGAGAAGCAGTGGGGGACAAAGCTGAAAACGTAGGTTGGGACATGCTGTGAAGTCCCCTGAAAAATCAAAGCTAAAGAGGTATTTCATCCCCATGGCAGCAGGAAGCCACTGAAGTTTAGTAAATATTGATTTTACCTTCACAGAACTCTTCTGGGGTTTCATGAGATTAATATATAATCTAAAAAAAAAGGCAGGGGGGAGACATTCCAAAAGAATCAGAATTCCTTGGCACTCGACATATTAAAGAGCCAGTTTGCTCACCCCAAGACTAGTTTTCTAATCCTTGTTCTGCTACTGGTTCATTGGCGATGGGAAAGATCACATCTCTAGGCCATAATTTCCTCAGATGTAAAATAAAGGGGCTAATCAAGATAATTTCTAAAGTTCCTTCTGGCTCTAAAATCAATTATTTTCATTCCCCTTGTTCAAACTTCAAAACAATGAGAAAAGAAGAAAAACCTGTTACTAATGCTTTTAATGACACTGAAATCATAGTTTAAATATTTAAATTTGCAGATTTGTTCTATCTGCATCCCAAAGTAGAAGTTCACACTGTGAAAAAAAGTCACACATGATTTATTCACTGAAATTTTGTAATAAAAAGAATCTATGGAGGGCACATGACTGCATTTTTTTTTTTTTTTTTGGCTACCAGACTATAAGATTTTTCAACATCACAGATGAAAAATTTTAAAACAAAATACAGTAAGATTATATAACAAAATACTTTTTAAAAATGTACTCTTGAATATGTTAGTGGATAACATTACTGATTTGATCTATTTTTGTGCTATACAGGAAATATCAATAGTAAATTTGTCACTTAAATTCATTTTCAAACTTAATTGCAATGGGCCAGAGGGCAGACTGCTAAATATAAAGGACCTTTTTTTTTTTTAAATTGGCAACATGCAAAAATTTTGAAAATTACGAGTTTTTCTAAAAGCAGAAGTAATGAGTTCATGAAAATAGTAGTGTTCTGTGTGGACGTTCTGCAATCATTCCTATGGTTTCTCTAGGGTACAGTTGAGTCTGGAAATCTTGGTTCTAGTTTCTGCTCTACCTCAACTAGCTCTGTGAGAGTGGACACCATTTATCTGGTTTTACTTTCCTTTTGAAATAACTGACCACAATTATGGTCTTCATTTTATGGTCTTTTCCCCTACTACTGGACTGAAAGATACTTGAGTGCTGGGACTCTGTATTCACAGCTGTAACTCCCTATCTGGCACATAACTCAATATTCACTGAATAAATGAATTTTCTATCTGTAAATTGGGGCAGTTGGACTAAACTGCCCATGTCCTTTCTATCTTTAGGATTCTGTGCTATACATGAATTTACTTTGAATTAACTAAGTCCAGACGGTTGAGTTTTCCCCTTCAGCTTGGCTTCTAGCCTTTTATTGCTCATTAGTACTGTTTTCAAATTAGGACATTTGTGTCCTAATTCAACTTGAAGATAAAGCAGTACAAGTAGCTAGAGTGGGATAAAGTTCTGACAGGAAATGATTCTCTAAGGGAGTGACACAGAATTTGCTGTTGAACCCAACTCCTCCTTCTTGAAATTCTGGTTTGCACCTAAAACAGTAAGTTAAAAAACTAAAAAGGTAGGTAATGACAAATCAAATGTCAAAACAATTTCTAGTGGAAAATTTGATGCTCTAAATTTTAGATGCTTTATGAGCAATAAAATTTTGTTGATGATGAACCTCCCAAGAACACAATCCAGATCTCCATGATATTCCTTTGTGCCAGCAAAACCCCAGTAACCTCAGTGAGAAGAGCTGTGGCCCCACAGCTGAAGATACACACTTCTTTGATGTAAGTCAAAGCCCATTACAATACATCCTGTTACAGTGAAAAGCTTTCCTTATGTTGGAAGCCCAATTATTTTGAGTAACATTATATACAACCCAACAGATACAATGAAATCATTGACAACTCCTTGAAATGTTAAAGGTAAATGACAAAGAGTAATTGGATAATGTAGACAACCCCTCAATATTATCATACTGTGTTCAACATTGGATGACATAAAATTCACCTGGGAAAGGGAGATTTGAAAGAACTATTTTTCCTTGAATGAGACTTGGATAATGAGATGAGGGTAAATCCTAGGAAAGGAAGTATTTAATTCACTGTGCTTTTAATGTATTTCTTGCTACTTATTCCCAGTTATGAACTTTTAATCTGTGTCTCTGGGTACTATTTATTTTAACTCAAGTACAACATAATACTAGGCATTCTTTAAAATAATTTTCTATTAACTACAAAAAGTACACTCCGGTAAGACATCTGTAAAATCATTTCCTTTTAGAAGGCATCAAATATTCAGGGAACTTTATTTTTAAAGGATAAATCAAATAAGACACAGCTTTCATTGACCCAAACATGCATAATCCATCCTTAATATAAAATGTTCTCAATTAGGAAATTACACATGAAATACAAAGGGAATGCAACTTTACATATGTAAAATGATTGCTAGCTATAGCAATTTAACAGTCAAATTAATACATTGTACAATTAAAAAAAACCCAAACCCTAACATCTTAAAGCCAATTATCTAAAGTAAACCAGGGGAAATTCTAATATGGAATGGTTTGACTCAAAGCAAAGAATAAGGCACCTGCTATAAATTTAGAACAGTAACTTTCATTTTTAAAGTTACAATAAAATAGAATTAGTCAACCAAGACACTGGCTTCAAAGAAGGAAACAAGTACAGGGTTGATTTCCTGGGTGAGAAAGGCAGGTAACAATGCAGATAAAAACCTGCTGGTCCAAGGTCGGCTGATTCCTTTCCTATTCTTGAGTAGTTAAATTCCTAAACATTCTTAACTGCTCCTCTCCCTCATTCTCCCCCTACATTTAGGGGTATCAGAAGCTCTGAGGTTCACACTGTGTATTAGGTAGCAGACTTCCCTTCTGTTCCTTTTAAAACAGCTTATTTTAAAAGAGATATCCTGAGGCAATTAACAAAGCAAACGAGCAGCTTTCTTTCCAATTCATTGATACAGAGACACCTCTCAGGCTTTATTTTTTTTTAAATCAAGTTATGACTAAGTATTTAAATAGCCAAAACTTAACAATTTTCAACAGTACCAGAAAACCCAAAACCTGCCTTCTCACCCTTACCATTAGTAAAAAGAAACTTTGATCAATCATAACCTATAAAATTATACAACAAAGGGAAGACCATAAAGACATCCTTATCAGTAAATCCATTTACTTCCAGAGGGCACTTCAGTCTGATGTATCTAGTACCCTAACAAAATTTTAATCATAAATCTAGAAAATTATTTCCAAACACTAAGTAACTTTTTAGTTGATGTGCCTTTTTTGGTATTAAAAGTGCTATTAATGTGCTAGGATGTCTTATGGCACATTGGACTCATCAGTATGTCCTGATGAGACACCCAGTTTTAGTAGTATTTTTCCCTAAAATGTTGTCTAGCACAGTAGACCCCTTTGATATATTAAAGTAATTCTGGTGAAATCAATGGTGACATAAACTTTCCCTGATTTTACTCCACCATGGTAGCTTTTAGGGAAAATGAAACTCATTAAGTTACAAAATGCTCAATCAAGTTGTTTTGTTATGGCATTTCAGGTTAGTATAATTACTCATGCAAAATCCAAGGTAGTGTAACAGAAATAATATTGTTAAAATAGATGTTGTAGCTATAAGCATCTCCCTTTGTATTAAGCATTTAGAAGCTTTTAAAAAATTTAGGTGCTAAAGATTATGGGAAAACTAGGCTGTGTAGTTGTTCCATTAAAAGCACTTTATTACAGGACAGTTAACATGACCTTATATGGGAGTGTGCTTTCAATTCAAGATACAGTAATAAAGTGCCTAGCTATATAAAAACCAAACTCCAAATTTTAAATTAAGCTAATTGCATTTACACATTAGGGTTAACAAAATCTAGACCCTGTCTACATAGACTTAATCTAATTATCTATACTGGATACTGTTTTAATAACCACATTAAAAAAAATTTACTCTTTACTGACTGAATAAGTAGGGTCCACTACTGTAGCTTAACAATCGAATTTTATTGCTTTATTCATGTGGTGCTTTTGCAAGGCACTGTGGTATGGACTAGAAAACTTGGAATGACTCGTGAAGAAACCTTGGAATGACAAATGAAGGATGATATGGAAAGTCATTCTGAGGCAGGATGCTTTACTGAATTGTTTTTAACCAGGGTATCAAACATCAGGAATGAGTTCAAGTTAAAATTCACAGGAGAATGGAAACACCTTAAGGTCAGTCACTTCACATGCCCATCCTGATACTTTGAATAATCTGGAAAATTGCTGTAAAGAGAAAGAACAAATGTTTTAGTATGTATGCTTTGAATAAAATAGGTCTGGCAACTAATACTTATTAAGGTAGTTCACAAGAATCCAAGCGCACCCTTAAACTTACCTGCAAATGCTATGTAACTTCACTGAAATAAAAAATGAAGACAAGCCTACTCTAACAATTCAATGTCTAAATTAATTTTTAAATTTCAGTTTCTCTGAATTTTATTTCTAAACGTCCAAGAGATTTTGCAATATGCAATCATTTTAGAAAGAACTTAAAGTGCCAAAGCAAAGAGGTTTTTCTAGCATAGAATTATTTTGATTTATCCCCAAAATATTAAGTGTCCTTCTAAGGCCTGGCCTGTAATATAACCAGGTTTCCTCATTCTCACAAAGCTGAAATTTGATAATCTTTAGGTTATATAAATTGCTTGGCTCTTGGCCATTTATCAAGAAAGCTTCTAACTCGTAAGTTTAGGAGGCAGGCAAAGTGAAATGTTTAAGAGAAACCTCAGTAACTTTAGAATGTCAGAACGTAAAAAACAGAAACATGTACTTCAATATCAACAACCTGCATATTAAGATAATAAATGAAGAGAGGAAAGGTATTCTGTAATATGCAGAGGCAACAATCTATTAATTTAACAGCAGGCTAATCTACTAACTTATTTTTCCTACCATATGGCAAACGTTTCTTTAATTAATCTAAAAACATTTACCTCATACATTAAGTTGCCAATCAGGTCCGTTTCCTTTATAAAGGATCAATTCTTTGCAAGAGCTTTACTCTATAAAATATACCCAATTTTGACATAAAGACATTAGATTCAGGGACACGTTAAATTAAGTTCAACGTCCATACATACATCATGTTCCTAAGCTTTTTTTTGCAAATGTATCGATAATGAGGCTGCAAAACATTCTGAATTCTCATTCCGTAAGGGTTTTTTGTTTTGGTCTAAATTTCTTCCAACTTGATCATTACTAAGGACCTGACCTCCTTTTCTGATCTCCTGTGAGCACAGATCAAGCTGTGAGAAGTTTCTGGAGCACCACCCTCTGTGCATATGTGGGACAAGCAATTCGGTTCAGATGAAAGTGACTTTTGTGGGGCTCCCGGCAGGTGAGTTGAGAACTACGCTGGTAGGATTCACCACTGATGGGTCACCACGTCATCCCAAGCCCTACATCCAACGCCCTTACCCAATGGTAGCCCCAAAACACTTACCAGAACCACAAACAACAAAAATGAAGAGAGCCAATAACCAGGGTCCTACAGACGCCTTCTCTTCGGGAGCATTTCTCTGCAAAAATGAAAATTCCCTTTTCAAATGCAAAACCCCGCTCCGACCCCGGGCTCCTGCAGCCTACACCTTGGGTCAGGTGGCCGGGTCCTCTCACCTCACAGGTTTCCTCTCTGTTCCCGAACCGCCAAGCTCCAGCACCCACCTTCCCGAACCCCCTCCCCCCAGCCTGCCCCCGCCAACTTAGCGTCCAGCTTGCGGCCTTGGTCCGCTAGCCTCGGGTCTCGGGGAGAACTCGACGCGGCCCTACGACCCAGGCCTGAGCCCGGGCTGCCGGACCGAGGGGCGCCTGCTCATTCCTTACCGAGGTCTTGGCGACGTTGCCGCGCTGGGTGATGTTCTTGCTGTGCTTCTCGTTGGCCATACGGATTCGCTGCTTGGCGACCATCTTCGCGGCGCCACCACCTGCCCCAGCCACCCCTTGGACGCGCTCGCTCGCCTCTCCTTGGGCCGCCGCGACGCTCTGCTCCTGGTGCCTGCGCCGCCGGAGCTTGGAGGCTCTCAGGCGGGGCGCTAGATCCGGCCACTGGGCCTGGGCTAGACGAGGGCTAGCCGGGCGCGGGGCGCCGACTGACGACGCCGGACTGGCCGGCCGAGAGGCGGGCGCGCGGGACGACAGCAGGCCGCCGGGATAGTCTTGCACCGCCGCTCTGGCCGCCGCCGGGAGCGTGGAGTGAAAGAGGAAGGAAATGCAACGCAACAACCGGGCAGCGCTGTCCGTAGCCTCGAACTACTTCGGATTTGGCTGCCAACGTCAGCACTGGACGGGCTCCGCCCCGCGGAAGTGCGGGCTCCGCCTGCCGAAGCAGACGGAGAGGGAGGACGAAGGCGGGCGCACGGGCCCTCGTCCAGCCCCGCGACGCTCTTTAAAGTGTTGCCCCGGAGCTGCGCGTGCGCGTTCGGGCTCCTTTTCCGCTGCTCTCTCCAACCGGAAGTGAATTGGCCCCGAGGCTTTTGATACCGGAAACAGCTATGCGCGGTTTCCACGCCTGAGGAGACGTGTAGGGGCCGGGTTTGGCTCTCGTGAACTCTGACCCAAGCGCATGGGTTTCTTTTTCCGGGACAAGATGGCGCCGTCCACGCCGCTCCTGACAGGTGAGTCCTGAACGAGCAAGGGATTGTTTTTCAGAGCAATTTCTTTTTGTGTCTTTGCTCTTGGGGATAACCCGAGAAGCACTGGTATCTTATCCACCTTTCTTTGTGAGTTGTGGAAGAGCTAGAGGGCCTTTTGGGTTTCTTGGTGTAGCGTGGCAATCGGAAGTGAGGCCCCCGCCTCTGGGCTCCAGCGTTCCCCTCCCTTTTGGCCCATCCATCATTTCTCCCTGTCGCTTTAGGTTCCACTGGAATTGAGGAAGGGAGATAGGATCAGAAAGTGCAAGTTGAATTTGTTACCCCGGGTGTACAACACTGGTTTTATACGAACCCTTATCTGGTGACAGACCTTGTTGACAGTGAGAAATCATTTATTTCTCTAATAAGGAACAAATATAAATAAGTCCCTAGAGTGAGCACACATATTAAATACACCTGATTATATATATATATAAATATATACATACCAAATTCTGTGCTCCTCGCTTTAATGAGATTCGTAGCGCCGAATAGAGAGAGTAGAGCTGTGGTAGTGTAGATTTAAAGTGATGAAAGTGTGCTCTGGGGTTGTAGCAGTGAGCATTATAGAAATGATCTAGCAACGTCTGATATTGAAATGGTTATGAGCGGGCGCCTGGGTGGCTCAGATGGTTGAGCGTCTGCCTTCGGCTCAGGTCATGATCCCAGGGTCCTGGGATCGAGTCCCGCATCGGGCTCTCTGCTCCTTGGGAGCCTGCTTCTCCCTCTGCCTCTCTCTCTCTCTGTCTCTCATGAATAAATAAATAAAAATCTTAAAAAAAAAAAATGGTTATGAGCATTTTCGAATTTGAACATGAGGGGATTCCTGAGATTTTGAAGCGGAGGCAGAGTTTATAATTTTGGAAAAGATAATCAGTCTTGGACTGTGTCCGGGAAGACTGGACTACGGTAACGGCTGGGATTCTCTTATCAGTATCAAATAAAGAGAGGGGAGTTGGGAGAGAAAAGAATAGAGGCCTTTTTAAAGTCATGAATACCTTATATAGAAGGGAAAAAGTCATTAACAAAAAGGTTGTCTTTTTTTTTTTTAAGATTTTATTTGACAGAGAGAGAGAGACACAGCGAGAGAGGGAACACAAGCAGCGGGAGTGGGAGAGGGAGAAGCAGGCTTCCCGCGGAGCAGGGAGCCCGATGTGGGACTCGATC